GGGGGGGGTATGCAACCACATCTTTGTCTGTTCCGTTAGTCAAGTGCACGTCTTGCAATCTGCTCACAGTGGTTGCCGTGATCAACGCGCAGAGAAACACTCAGTGGCCCAGACAATGACCTCATGAATAACCATGGTTTTTTAGATAATGTTATCACAACATTTACATCTGATTCTTTAAACCCAACGGTGTCTTTATCTTTACAACTCCCTCTCTTCTTTAAAAACAACTCACCTCCAATCCTTCCTCGTGGGGATGAAATAGGTTGGTTAAGGGAAGAAATGTGGTTTTTACCAAAAATACTAGTAGCGTATTACTCGACAACATTTAGAGCATATTCGATAACCTGCTTTAGCTTTATGATTATTTTTATGCTAAATTATATTATGAGGCATTAACGTCAAAATAACATTTGAAAACATCGACTTCAAAGATCCACTATGACGTTCCAAAATAACTGACCTTCTTTTTAAAAACTGCAGTCAATGACACCGTTCATGGGGATTCGTATGCAAGATAGTCGAGGAAATCGAAGGGAAGGAAATATACAAAATAATCATACTCAGGTCAAGTTCAAATTTTATTTTGAATAATGGGATCACAAAGAGACATATCATGCCATTTTTATTATCTGTCAACACACATGCATTTAGTTGGGCAAAATTGTAACATTGAACACCATTACACACTATACTGTACACATAATGCGTGCTTTCCTCTAAAGTTGTCAGAGGACGTATTAGAGTGAGTAAACCCAAGATATACAAACTTATGTACTTACCATGTCATGAGTTTGTCAAAAGGGAAACAGTTTACTTTATATCACTATGTTTCTATAACAGTACTGTGTTGTTTATGGTTTGGTTTGAAGTGCACCATAAAGGCCGCTGTCCATGGGACTGTTTTATGTCGCATGCCGCCACGACATTTAACCACAAACACCGCTGTGAAAACCGCTCACTATACATGTATTTTGTATAATCCTCTTTCCATGGCGCAGAGATTATGGAAAGGGGAATGTACAAAATATAGTAAGCGGTTCTTCCAGCGGTGTTTGTGGTCAAATGCCGCGGCAACATGCAGCATAGAACAGTCCCATGGATGCGGCTTTTAGAGTACGTGTCCTTATGCGCGAGGTCCTTGCCGCTCCAAAATCAATCAAGTAGGATTATAAAGAACCCGTCTCCTGACAGGCGACGTGACGTCTAGCCGCACGCGACAGTCTCCTGCGACGGTTCCTGTAGCGATCAAGACCTCGTGGCGCGTGACAGACTGGGAGTGTGTCATGTTTAAAGCATCGCCATTGGTCGAAATATCTAGCCAACGAGTGCTGGTCGACAGAGTGTGTTTGTGTGTGTGTGTGATGTGGTCGCGCATAAGGATACACACTCATCGCTAGCGACTGCCGAACGCGACGCCACGTCGCGCCGCACATAAGGAGACATAGACCTAGACATAGTATGTCATTATAACTACGAGTTGTCATAACACAAACAGGGATACAACATACTAAATGTCGAGTATAACCATATTGTAGTACTCTCAGGTTGCCTGTCGTTCTAGAATACCTGAACAGTTTAATACAAGTACACTTTTTAATGACTTGAAATTAAAACGACCATAATTTACTTACAACAAACACAGTCACTAAAACAATGTTGTATTGTAGTTTTTTTTCAAAGGACGAAAAGGGAATACTCTTCAATTCTAGCTAGATCTAGTCGATGTCTGTACTGCATTATTGAGCTAGTGGCCCGTGGTAAAACGTGTTGTGACCAAAGAGACTATGTATAATACTAGAGCTAGCAGCAGTGACGTCACACCTCTCAGACATGCTTTCAGGGAGGCCTTCTCACCCCCATCGGCATGGCCGGTGTGCCCCCATTTACATGAAAAAATCTGAGCCCCCACCCTGCTCCCAACGAGCTCTAGTATATCAAACACCATCCTTATCCTGCCCCCATAATTATTTCAGAGCCGGCTTGCAGATTTCCTCCCAAGACCGCATAGACGCCTCCACATGTCTCGAAAAGTACTCGCCCATCTATTGAACTGTCCATGTCTTGCACTTGAGGTTCAGCGCTCCAGAGTGGGCACACTCGTTTACATTGGGGACGTCACTGCCACAAACTCTAGAGCTAAATATAACCTCTTTGGTTGCGACTCGGTGGAATCAGGGACTAGTCAATATTTGGGCATATAAACTCAATGATATTTTCTGAGAGCTTGCTCCTTTGCTTTGCTTTTGATGAAAAAAATACCTACCTGTCGTGAAAAGAAGTGGAGACATTTGTGATTGGAGGCGATGGGGGCCGCCTGTGTTAGAGAACACATTAGCGAGCAAATGGTCGCCAACGTTTGGTGACTCACAATACTCTCGTGTCCTTGGAAACTGCAAATTATTTACATTCTTGTGCATTTGATCAATGTTTTTCCAGTAAGCTCCAAGCAAATATGTGTTTTTAATTAAGTGGACATAAAAAGTGTTTTTATTATTTTCTTTAGATTGATATAAAAAAGCTGAGTTGAGGAATAGGGGTTAATTTTTCACTTTAATTATTGTGACAAGCATCTGATTTCTTTACAATGCATCAAAAATAGTCATGTGACTTACAGACAAGAAAAGATTATATTTCAGTGTGCTGACCACCTTGCTTTTTCACAATTATTGTTTCTTCACAGTCTCTTCCCTTGTGAGTGTTTTACGAAAAATAAGATAGAATCGTGGACTTACATTACAACATCCTAGACCGGGCACTGTCATTGCTCTCTGTAAAAACTTCGCTAAGAAGCGCGCGCACCATAGGCGCCCAAATATAAACATGTCATCTGGTTATAGTCTAGTGTGGGAGACAGCTTGTGACATAATATCTCATACATGTTAGCAAATGACACGTCTCATACATGTGACACATCTCGTACTTGTGCCTGAGCTAATTAGTGACACATCTCATACATGTGACCCATCTCATACATGTGACCAAGTTAACTAGTGACACATCTCATACATGTGCCTCCAAACTGAATTAACTAGTGCTCTGCACCTTGACCCGGAGCTACGTAAGAGTGCACATCCAGGATATCAGAATGCAAGTCTACTGGTCAAACAGACAGTCCGGAAAATCTTACAGATTTTTCTTAAGAAAGAGCACCGTTGTTAAATAAAATGTAATGCAAAGAAGAAATAAATGTGTCGATTAATATCACATCAAGTGTAGGAAACACAGCATAGAAATTGTCGTCTGTCCCCAAAACGGGTTGCTTATGTCCCAACCGCTCGTTCAAAAAGCGTTTGTAACACCAATATCCATAGAATTATTGTGCGTAATAAAGATTTACAAAATACAGAGAGAACAAGAGAAACAAGATAAAAACACCACACGCACATGACAGATGGAAATTAATGTTAGCGTACACTATACACGTCAGGAAAAATCCCACCTTCAAAGAAAACTGGGGGTCTTTGTCTGAGGTAGAAATTTTGACTCTCTCAGCCCTTCCGTCGTCAAACCACGAACATTTCAGCATAAAAACAGTCACGTAATATCTGGACTGAGAGTCACTTCAGACTTTTTAAAGCTGACATCTTCGATTGTCCAGTGTAGCGCTAAAAGAGTGGATTCAGCGAACAATGTTTGGTCGGTCCTCGCTCTGCGGAATATTTTAGAAGAGATTGGGGCACTGGAGGAGCAGACAGACGCAGCCAGGAGGACGATGGGAAACAATCAAGCTGAGGAACTTCCACAACGTCAGAACGCCGAGGCACAATTTCAGCACACCCCCCCCCCCCTTTACAATGTAAACAAAATTGCCCTCTTCGGATTTTTAAAAAAATGTTGTTTCTTTTTTTTTTTGAATCCGAAAAGGGCAATTTGGTTTACATTGTAAGGGGAAAAAGGTGGGTTTTTAAAAAATCTCTTTTCCTACAATGTGCATTTGTGTAGCGACGCAAGAATGCCCGTCGGTTATCTCTGAGGTAGTTTTACAGATGTTTGCGATTCAAGTTAGTCAGGAGTCACCTGGGACAAATCCTTTCAATCATCATCCTCATCATCATCATTGCCTTTCTCACCCAGGATCAGGGTGCAAGACACGAACAAACACAAATCGGGGGTAATGCTGGAGGATTAAAATTGTGCAACTTTGGTATCGTTCTCAATTATAGACATCAGCGAAGTCGGTGTGTAAACATGTTTATTTGACGTTTTCTTGACTCTACCCTAAATGTAACAAACGGTCATCTCCACTATGATTAGGAATAGGGGGAGCTCCATTTATATAACGATTTCAGATTACCATGGTTAGTAAATGTGCAACCCTATTATCAAAATTGAGGGTTCTGTGTTCATCCTTTTGTTTGCAGTATGTGCACTTATACTTAGGAATGCTGCTTAAATTCAAAATAACTAAAAATAACCGTATTCGTGAATGGTAAATACATAAACGTCTTGATTTTAAAAGTTATTTTCTCCGGTGTATGTTTCCATACCCTACGTCATTCCAATGGCCGTAACTCTTGAAGCATTGAAGATATTGGCATGAAATAAAGCTCCGATTACTCAGAAAGATGTCATGAAACATAATATGGGTATTTATCAATATTAAAATGTTGACGGATATGAAGGGTTTACTTGTGCCGTCACTCAATTTTCTTTCTAAAAAAATATGTATTTGATCCAAAATATTCGATTTCAAAAAAGAAATTAGGGGGTCAAACTTCGGTGCAATGTAAAGATGTTTTCGCTTCCCTGTTCCTAGTTCCAAGTTCATCTGACGAACTCCGTGTCATACGATGACGGAGCTTAGTATCAAATGTGTTTGTCAAATAGAGTCTGAATTTTAGCTTCTCAGTAGAGTGTTGCGTGAGAAAGAAGAGGGGAGGTGGATAGAGGGGGATGAGGGAGAGGGGGAGGGGGGAGAAAGGAGGGGGAGGGGGAGAAGAGAGATGGGGAGGGGGGATGTGGGAAAAGGGAGAGGGGGGAGGAAAAAAGTGAGAGCG